TTCTTACTTGACATGTTCTCCAAAGGAAAAGCAAAAATGAACTACTGGACCTCATCATAATAAAAAGCTTTTGCCCTGTAAAGGAAACAATCAACAAAACTAAAAGGTAACTGACAGAATGGGTGAAGATATTTGCAAAAGACATATCAGATAAAGGGTTAGTATCCAGGGGCGCCTGGGTGGCTCAGTCAGTTGAGCGTCGGACTTCGGCTCGGGTCATGATCTCCCAGTTCACGAGTTCAAGCCCCGCGTCTGGTTCTGTGTTGACAGCTCAGAGCCTGGAGCCTGCTTCTGATTCTGTGTCTCCCTCTCTCTCTGCCTCTCCCCTGCTTGTGCTCTCTGTCTCAAAAATAAAGATAAACATTAAAAAAAGTTGTTTTTAAAAAGGGTTAGTATCCAAAATCTATAAAGAACTTACTAAACTCAACACCCAAAAAACAAATAATCCAGTGAAGAAATGGGCAGAAGACATGAACAGACATTTTTTCCAAAGAGGACCTCCAAATGGCTAACAGACACATGAAAAGATGCTCAACTTTGCTCATCATCAGGGAAATACAAATCAAAACCACAGTGAGATACCACCTGACACCGGTCAGAGTGGCTAAAATGAACAACTCAGGAAACAACAGATGCTGGTGAGGATGTGGAGAAAGGGGAACCCTCTTGTCCTGTTGGCGGGAATGCAAACTGGTGCAGGCACTCTGGAAATCAGCGTGGAGGTTCCTCCAAAAATTAAAATGTGAATTACCCTATGACCCAGCAATAGCACTACTAGGAATTTATCCAAAGGATTAGGGAATGCTGATTTATAGGGGCACATGTACCCCAATGTTTATAGCAATGGTATCAACAATAGCCAAATTATGGAAAGAGCCCAAATGTCCATCAAATGATGAATGGATAAAGATATGGTATACACACACACAAACACACACACACACACATACACACACACAATGGAATACTATTCAGCAATGAAAAAGAATGAAATCTTGCCATTCGCAACAACACGGATGGAACTGTAAAATATTATGCTAAGTGAAAGAAGCCAGTCCATGAAAGACAGATATCATGTTTTCACTTATATGTGGAAGTTGAGAAATGAAAAAATATAGATAGATAGATAGATAGATAGATAGATAGATAGATAGATAAATAGATACAAACAGAAAGGGAGGGAAACCATAAGAGACGTTTAATTACAGAGAAAAAACTGAGGGTGGAAGGGAGTGGGAGAACAGGGGGATGGATAAAATGGGTGATGGGCATTGAGGAGGGCACTCATTGGGATGAGCACTGGGTGTTTTATGTAAGTGATGAATCATGGGAATCTACTCCCGAAGCCAAGAGCACACTGTATGCACTGTATGTTAGCTAACTTGACAATAATAAATAAATAAATAAATAAACAAACAAACAAACAAATAAATAAATAAATTTTAACCAAAACTAAATAGCACTAAAAAAAAGTTATTTATTGACACAAATGATACTAGTTATTCCATTCTTAAGTCAAAAATCAACAGGACAGGATTTATAAGCCTTACTTCAGTAAAAAAAAAAAAAAAAAAAAAATTATAGACTCTAGATTTGACATATGGGTGTTCATTTTACAATTTTTTTAACATTTTCTATGCTTGAAATTTTTCGTAATAAAATTTAAAAAATGTTTTTAATTAAATAGGACTATAAATTCAGTTATTCTAGCCACATCTCAGGTACTAGTTGCTACACATAGTAGCTGGTGGTTACCTTGCTGAACTACAGATAGAGGACATCTCCATTATCTCAAATAAGTTTACTGGCCAGAACCTCTCTAGATAATGTAGCTCAGGAGTATTGCACACATCCTTCCCAATAAGGTCATCCTCACTGTCCCGGGCAAGTGAATCGTCACTACAAGGACTGCCCCCTTTAAAAAGTGGGGGTTCAGATGGAGAAAGAATACCAGGGGCAGGCTTACTAAGAGAAATAATGAAAGACCAAGTCTATCAGAAAGACGCTGAAGGGAACTGAAAATCACGAGTGGAAACTATGGTCGTTAGAAATTAGGGGCGCCTGGGTGGCGCAGTCGGTTAAGCGTCCGACTTCAGCCAGGTCACGATCTCGCGGTCCGTGAGTTCGAGCCCCGCGTCGGGCTCTGGGCTGATGGCTCGGAGCCTGGAGCCTGTTTCAAATTCTGTGTCTCCCTCTCTCTCTGCCCCTCCCCCGTTCATGCTCTGTCTCTCTCTGTCCCAAAAATAAATAAATGTTGAAAAAAAAAATTAAAAAAAAAAAAAAGAAATTAAAATACACACACACATGTGCGTATAAAAGCCTAAATTTTTAATAATTTGTCATGCTGAGAACTCATTTAGTTCCTACAGAAACACAAATATATCGTGAAATATCTTATTTACAAAATTTACTGTGAAAATAAGGAATAAGGGCAGAATAAAAGATGTGTTTAACTTGGGGTGCTGACTTTACTCTTGTAACCCTTTAGGCATTATTGATTGTACCAAAAATATTTAAATTTTAATAATTCCTGGGGGGTTGGTGATAAATGTAAAAAATCCAGAACCTTCTGTAAACAACTTCTATAGGCACCAAAAAATTAAGTCCCATTAGGTATGGAAGTAATAAAGGTAACACGTAATTGCCTTTAATGGATGAAACTCTGACTGCATGAAAGAACTTCTGCCATAGGATGTCCAACCATAACAATTCTTTATGATCTTAAAGTGAATAAAAAGACGTACCCTTCTGGAAAAAAGAACAAAAACAAAACAAACAAACAAAAAAAAAAACCACTCTCCATGCAGGCTTTGATATGTTTTATTGGAGCAAAATCTCAACAAAAAGTTGCTTTCGTTTACAGAATTTAATATGTGTGAGGACTATCTAAACCACTTGGACCCAAGTGAGAAGAACCATTAAGCCTGTTTATGTATTTTCTTATTTTCAGTGGGCATACAAAACAAGAGTTTCACATTTATAAAAACCCCAATATTGTAAGTGACAAACCCATCCCTTAATTAAATATAAAAACAGCTTTTAAAAAAACATACAACTTAGATTGGTTTAATCTTGAAATGTAATCCAATAAGACTAAAAACTAAACATTTCAGGTCCTGTACCAAGTAGTAAAATACTCGAAGGCCTTCAGGATCCCTAAAATTTAAAAAGGTAAAAGTTACTTTTTTGTTCCTAAAATGAAACATATAATTTTGTAAGTTAATTCCTAAAACAAACTAAAAAACAAAACAAAACAAAGGAATCCAGGAGAAAGGAAGGATTTGCTGCAACTAAAATGAACATACTGAATAATTTTCATTTCCTTTATCTTTTCTACAAAAAATATAAATTTTATTCACCAGTATTCATTTCATACTCAAGTATTTATTTTCTTATCAAAGTAAGAACTATACATAGCAAAAATGTATAAAGCAGATATAATTATAAAGATAGAAAAAATAATACTCATAATACTATAAAATGTCACTCCTTACAGAAAAACTATGAATATTTTGGCATTTCTCTATTTTCATAACTAAAAGCATTCCCTGGCCCTTTGATTAAAAAAAATTTTTTAATGTTTATTTTTGAGAAAGAGAGAGAGAGAGAAGCAGAATGCGAGTGAGGGAGTGGCAGAGAGAGGGAGACACAGAATCTGAAGCAGGCTCCAGGTTCTGAGCTGTCAGCACAGGGCCCAACTTGGGGCCTCAATTCATGAGCCGGGAGATCATGACCTGAGCCAAAGTCAGATGCTTAACCGAATAAGCCACCCAGGGACCCCTGTTCCTTGTACCCTTTTTAACGTTGTTTTCCATTACATGAAAAATAATTTGCAAATGATTTCTAATTAACAATTCTCTTTTTGTTAAACAGTTGGATTTTTCCCCAATTATAAGACTCCAATGACCATTTTTATGACTAATAAAGCATTTTCATTATTTGACAGTATTTCCCTAAAATAGATGCTCAGAAATGGAATTACTAAGTCAAAGATGAATTTAAAATGCTAGCACCTTTTGATGCACAATTATCAAACTGCTTTCCAAAAAACACTGTACCAATTTAAAATCCCACTTAGGATATGAACGCCAGCCACATCCTCACCACTGTGGGGAAATAAATGTGATAGTTTAAAAGTATCTGGTCGGTCTTTATTGTATCTAATAGTTACTATACATTCATTCCTTTCTCCTTTCCTCTAACATATATTTACCAAGCACCTATCCTGTGCCAGGCACTGTGTTAACTTTGGAGAAAGAGCAAGGTTCTCATGGAGTTTATATTCAAGCCAGAAAAGCAAATAAATAAGTTATTACAATTTAGGGTGATAGGACAAAATACTAAGAAAACATTTTGAGGGGTAAAGAGAGAAAAGTAACTCCAAGTAGAGAAATTTTTCAGACAAAAACAACAGTATGTCCTACAAAGGCCCAGAGGAAACAAAGTTGGAAAGACAGAGGAAGCTAAAACCATCCTTAAGTTATAATGACTTTTTTCAAATTCTTTCAAATATTAAATTCAAAGATGAGGATGATGTGATAATGGATGATATAATCCAATAAGGATTTTTTAAACTCTGTAAAAAGATACCCAGATTTTTACCAAAAATAGCTATTACAACGTGGTCATTATTGTACACAGTTGTCAGATTAACATTCTTTTGATAATCACAAAAATACGCTGCTAACCACTTTGATAGCAAGCCTTTAATGACATAAAAGTTAGAATTACATCTGCATAATAAACTGATAGGATGCCACCAAAATAATCTTAGAAAACTGGCTACTGTTCTAAAATGAGCCTCTCTAATTAATTACGTCAATTTAGTCAAAATACTTTAACATACTCACTTTGACTGATTTACATCAATAAGAGAACCTATTTTTGATGTGGTAAAAGAAATGTGTTCATCTCCAATTACAATTTCAAGTTCCTGAAAAAAACAAAATAGATTCATGTAGTTAATATAAAACTCCATCTCAGAAGCGTCTGTATTCTTGTTACCTAGAGGTCCCAATTGTAGCTGCGAGTTTTCTAGCAGTCATAGAAGAGAAAAAAAAAAAAAAGAAAAGAAAAAGGGAAAGGAACTTGACCTGTTAGACATAAACTATGTCTGTAAAATAAAAACCTCATCGAATGCTCAGGAGTCCCCAATATTAGGATCAACCAAGAACTGCTTTCCAGAGATCTCATAAAGAAAACTCTATAAATATGAATGACACATGAACATTTCTTATGTCCGTAAAAACTAAAGAAATAACTTTGAAGCACAATGTTGTAAAAATAATAATATGGGTAAAAACCTATTTTTAATAAATAAATATAAGCACACTTAACCATTCTACCAGAAATGCAGAGTATTAACAGCACCACTTTGGGATCTACTGTGTATGAGGCCCTGCTGCTAGGGACTTTAAAACATACTCTGTAATCCCTAAAATACCCTTATCAGGGTATTTGACAAATGCAAAACACAAGATTCATAAAGCATAGGGAAAAACATCAACATTTACAACCACTAATAAGTGATAGTACTCATATTTGAATCCTGGGCTGTTAACACTGAAAGACTCACACTTGTTTGACTTCACAAAATATTTAAAATTAAGCACTACTAAAACAAATACAACATACTGTAGACATTCTCAGTGTGCCATAATTACTGGATAAGTTTTTCTCTATATTTTATCTGCAAATCTAAAACCAATGATTAAGAGGCTATGTCTGTAGTGATTTATCAGGTTAAATAACAAATGCCATTAAAGACAATCTCAGCTATATGTCTGATCAAAAGACCTAATTACACACAGTTTATGGCACACACAATATGGAGAATTACCTAAGGCTCTCAAACAATCATAAAATCTTTGATTCAAAGATCCAATGGATGATCTCTGGAACGTGCTTAACCCTCCCCACTAACCAAAACATAAACACATCATCGAGTGGGTACATAAAATGCTGGGTTCTCCCAGAGTCTAAAAGAGATAAAAGGTTTACTGCCGTTGTCTGTTTTTTAGTACAAATGTACCCATTGCATAAAGCAAACTGAGATTTAAATTTATTTTTTAAAAGTGTTTCAATGCATAAAATAAATACTGTTAACTATTACCTTTGCTTTCCTAAATAATGTTTCTTTAAACAGAAGAGCTAAGTGACTGCTATAGAATGTCAGCATCTATTCGATTTCTCCACATTTTCTTCTAGAAGAAAGTAATATAAAGTCAAAGAAGGTGACATAAAGTATAATTCTTAGGAACATAAAAAAGTGAAATTAAGTGTTTCTTCCTCCAGGAATTGTATCTCATGTCTTCAAGAGTTGAAAAGACCCAATCAAACTATCTTTTTACAGAGTGAAATGAAACCTTCAAAGTTCTTCACAAGCCCTCTGAGAAACATTAATTACTCTAAAGGGAATATGAGGGGGCGCCTGGGTGGCCAGTCAGTTAAGCGTCCGACTTCAGCCAGGTCACGATCTCGCGGTCCGTGAGTTCGAGCCCCGCGTCGGGCTCTGGGCTGATGGCTCAGAGCCTGGAGCCTGTTTCCGATTCTGTGTCTCCCTCTCTCTCTGCCCCTCCCCCGTTCATGCTCTGTCTCTCTCTGTCCCAAAAATAAATAAACGTTGAAAAAAAAAAATTTAAAGGGAATATGAGGCAAAAGCAGTGGTCAGTTCGAACAAAGACACCAATCAAATCCCTCTCCTGGGCATAAGGATGCAAACAAGGGTTCTCAAAGTTATAAAAATGAAGAAAGTAAATTTTACAGTCAATAAGAATCCTGTCTTGAATTTAACAAACACTGTACTTATTCCTAATAGAAGTAATACACAATAGAAATTATTCATAATAGCGTGAAAACATCATAGCTTTAACTGGGGAGGCTAGAGAGAGGACTGGTCAGAAAGAGGTCTAAATCTTGAGCTACACATTGACTCCTTTACTACTCAGAGGTAGCACAGGAAATGAGCCTAAGTGAAACAAAATTAAACAGGATTTACTGGGTGCCTACTAAATGGAAAACCAAAGAACCAATGGTCTATTCTAAATAAATAAGGAGAAACGTAACAATGAATTACATTACCAACTTTTAAGACGTATGCATTTAAAGAACCACTAAACACCAACCTGTCGGCCAACTCTGTCAGGGGGAGGCCACAAAGCATCATCTTCTTTTGTAATTTCACTGTCGTCAATGATTCTCTTCAGTTCTTCCATTACACTCTTGTGTACGTAAGCCTGAAAATAAGTTCCAGTAAAAATTTCATGTCTATTTCTTCCCCCAACTCAGAACGAAATAATCATACAATGTTACAGACACTAAATATTCAAAGGGAGTATCAGGGAAGAATCGAATGCTGATTCCAAAATTACAAGGTGAGAGAGAATCACTCATCCATAGGATGCTTCTTCATTCTCTTGCCCTTTCCTTGAATATACATTTGTCTCCAAATTAAAAAAAAAAAAAAAAAAAAAAGGTAATTTACACTAGCCTCCTTTTAAAACCCTGGATTCTGACTTCATAACATGGACTCAATTACCTGAGTGGTTAATGGTGATAAGGGAAAATCTATAAGGTGAACAGAGGCAAATGCAAGTAGACATCACAGCTACTGTTCTGAACTTTTTCTTATCCCTAACTTTTGAGCCTCTTATTTAAATTCACACTGTGTTTAGCACCTGGGTAGCTCAGGTCATGAACTCAGGAGTTCATGAGTTTGAACCCCACATCAGGTTCTCTGCTGCTAGGGCAGAGCCCACTTTGGATCCTCCTTCTCCCCCTCTCTCTCTGCTCCTCCTCTGCTTGGTTTCTTTCTCTCTCTCACTCTCTCTCTCTCTCCAATAAATGAATAAAAACTTAAAAAAAAATAAAATGCATACTGTGTTTAAATATTGACTATCAATTAGTTTTAAATAGTGAATGTGACACAAAGACAAAATGAACTAAATCATATGTTCAAAGATGGGTCTACAATTTAATATATTCAGATTGCTTCTTTTGATGTTACACATGCTACAGTTATATCTAATTTAAATAGAATCCCTTTTCAATCTATAAAGTGGCTTCTTTATAGTAATATAGCCTTAGATGTAGTTTTGTAAATTCAAAAAAGATCTGAAGAAAATGGTCTAAATGTAAAAAATCAGACATTCAAAAAGAACTTACCTCCTTTCTGATCATGACATCATTTTTGTAATTGCTGTTGTTGGCATATCTAAGCTTTCCTGTGGGGAGTGGAAAAAAATTCAATCTATAACAGCAAAAACTGCTAAAAAAAAAATAAAGAAAGAAAGAAATGACACTGTAAGCAATTTTGAAGGTAAAGACCATTTTATACTACCATTTTTTTTATTAATAGTTTCTGCCTTTTTAGCATAAGATCAATGCTAGATCTGTATTTGCTGGTAAAAAAAAAAGTTAGCTAAAGCTGAAGCTAGTCATTTTCAAATACTCCATACCTTCAACAGAATTTTTAAGTATTCAACATAATTTTTAAATATTTCATGCCTTTGGGGCACCTGGGAGGCTCTGTCAGTTAAGCGTCCGACTTCAGCTCAGGTCATGATCTCATGGTTCATGAGTTCGAGCCCCGCGTCGGGCTCTGTGCTGACAGCTTGGAGCCAGGAGCCTGCTTCAGATTCTGAGTCTCCCTCTCTCTCTGCCCCGACCCCACTCATGCTCTGTCTCTCTCTCTCTCTCTTAAAAATAAATAAACGTTAAAAAAATTTTTTTCAATAAATAAATAAATATTTCATGCCTTCAATATAATTGGAGGGCTTTTTTTTAAGTTTATTTATTTATTGGGGGCGGGGGAGCACAAGCTGGGGAGGGGCCGAGAGAGAGAATCCCAAACTGATAGCACAGAGCCCAATGTGGACTCAGTCCCACGAACCACGAGATCATGACCTGAGCCCAGATCAAGGGTCCGACACTTAACCAACTGAGGCACCCAAGCGCCCTTTAGGAGAGTTACTTTTAAGGCTCATTTGCTTAAGCCATTATCATGAACTAGACAGGGAATCTGAAAAAGGAACTAACATTTCTTTTAAAGCCTATGTTTTATGTCTTCATTGGTCCTAAGTGATTTACCCACAGCATTTAATCTAATCGGTGCTTCATCTATTCATGGTTGAGAAAACAGAGTTCAGTTACTTGCCCAGGGACACAAAGATTCGGATCTGGATCCACCTTCTTCCAATACTCACACTTTCCCTACTACTCCAAAATGTTCTCTACACAATATGGCAATGCTAATATTTTAGCACTGTCACTAGGATGCATATGCTATGTAATGCTTCTAGATAAAAAGTAGGCCAGTTTGTTAGCTGACCTATAGTTAATTTTAATCCATCGTTGACTTTTGTACTCCCTGATGCATGCTTCTCCTTATGGCTGTAGTCAGTTGCTCAGGGACAGATGTAATATGGTCCTGGTCTCTGATGTTACCCTAATGAGGTGATCCCCTCACTACTGAAGGAAGTATGTGGAATGGTATGAGGGCAGATTACTGGATGAGAACCACCGTCCTGGCATGAAATTTCCCTGATAATATCAGACTGCTTAATTTACGTGACTGGCTAAACAGGATATAGGCAAGCTGAAAGCTGTTCACAGGCAAAGACACTAAGAAGATTATCACCTAAAAAAAGAATAGATGGAACATTCAGGTAAATTTGGCTCCTTAGCTAAACTGAGAAGAGACATGGGGAGAACAAGGGAGAATAAAGTGATTGCAGTTTCTAAATTGCATGGCTGTAGTTACCTTGAGTTCTTCCTTCAACGTCTGATTCTCTTCCTCTTTCCTAATATACGAGGCTTCTCTACTTTTTCTTTTTTTTTTTTTTAAAGTGGGCTCCACGCCCAGCGTAAAGCCCAACAAGGGGTTTAAACTCACATGACCCTGAGATCAAGACCTAAGCTGTGATCAAGAGTCAAACACTTAACGGACCCACCCGCCCCTTCTCGACTCTTTCACTCCCACAGAACTTTGCCCAAAACATATGGCACCACTCAATATCCACGCTGTTTTATGGCTAGTTTCATGTCTGTGTCGCCCACCAAGACATAACTCCTTCATGGAAATTAGTCTTATTCATTACTGTATCCTCAATTTTTGTATTTACTTGTTGCCCAGCACATAACACGCATTCAAAGAAGGAAAAGCCTAGGCGTGTGGACTGCCCAGGTTGCCAGGAGAGTTCAGTATACAGTAACACTTCTCTTTAGAGAGAATCGGGGCTGTCAAAAGATAGACTATGTTGCAGCTACACAGCAGCAGACCGTTCACCCTTTGCTCATGCTGTTTTCAGCAGTCTGAATGGTTTTCTCCCTCACAGGCCCAGAACATCCTATTCTCATTTAAAGACTCATTTGAGGGGCGCCTGGGTGGCGCAGTCGGTTAAGCGTCCGACTTCAGCCAGGTCACGATCTCGCGGTCCGGGAGTTCGAGCCCCGCGTCGGGCTCTGGGCTGATGGCTCAGAGCCTGGAGCCTGTTTCCGATTCTGTGTCTCCCTCTCTCTCTGCCCCTCCCCCGTTCATGCTCTGTCTCTCTCTGTCCCAAAAATAAATAAACGTTGAAAAAAAAATTAAAAAATAAATAAAAAATAAAGACTCATTTGGGGCTCCTGGGTGGCTCCATCGGTTAAGCTTCCGACTTCGGCTCAGGTCATGATCTCTCAGTTTGTGGGTTCGAGACCCGCATGGGGCTCTGTGCTGACAGCTCACAGCCTGGAGCCTGCTTCGGATTCTGTGTCTCCCTCTCTGCCCCTCCCCTACTCGTCCCCTGTCTTTCTCTCGTTGTCTCTCTCAAAAATAAATAAATGTTAAAAAAAAAAAAAAAAACTCATCTTGAAAGAGGGCTTCGGCTGCCTCCATTGTGATCTCAAACTTTTTAGTTAGATTCCTCCTTCCAGCTTGTCTCTCGGCTCCTGCAGAAGACCCTAAGGGCAAAGTATCTCCTAACAGGAACCAAAACTACCCCCTCAAGCAACAAGGACTGCCCCGAGCCATCAAGACCTCACCTGGGATTGAAATCCAAGACAATGATCAATTTAAAATTCAAGGTCCACAGGAACAGAACCCACCCACCTTTGCCCCACGTTTTCCTTACATAAACCTGGAAGTATTTTTGGCATTTTAGAGACGTCTTTGAGAAGCTAGTCCGCTGTCTTCCGGTGCTGGCCTCTCTGAAATAAACTTTCTTGTTTCACCATCAGTAGATTCTCTACCTTTGGATTTGTCAACGAGCCTCCGATTTGGTCTGTTTGGGAACCCGGGAGACAAGTGCTCCTGTAGCCCTGCGCACCAGCTGCAATTTCAACTGTTACCTTCTCTAGGAAGCTTTCCTTGACGCCTCCTACACGTAGCCCTCACCATCCCCCTTTTGTATTCTTAACGCATCCTATAGCAAACAACTGTATTTAAGCACCCTAAACACATCATTACATTCATTTTTCTACACTGAAGAGCTCCCCTCTTCTGAGCAGGTCCTTTTCCTACACACGTGGCTTGAGAGGCAGGGCCTGAATGAATACAATGGTTGAATGGGGAGTCCGAAAATTAACTGGTCACCGGAAGACCTTCAGCATCCCTTGGACCCCGGCACGATGGGATGTTCTTCAAAATGTTCGGGTATGACGTCAAGTACACGAGATGCCTTTTCAGGTCCCTTCCGGTGCGCTGGATGCAGGATTCTGCTTACCCCCAAGTTTTCAGTATCTGGCAGGGTTCGATTTTTCTGAATTAATTTACACCGATCAATTTTCTTTTCTTCACGGAACCAATGTACGCCTCGGATAGACTTTCGTTCGTGTGTATTTCGGCTCTAGTGGCCCCAGCCCCCACCGCAGGTTCGCCAGCCCACCGCGGACGGCTCAGCCCACCCCGCCCCCTCCGCGTCCTCTGCGCTCCGCTTCCCCCAGCCGCGCAGCGCGCTCGGCTGCGGCGCCGCTCCCCTGCTCACCGTCTGGCCGAAACTCGAACTCTAGGAACTCGTGTCCAAACTTGCCCTTGTGCCCTACGTAGTAGCGCAGGTAGAAATCGCTGGCCATAGCCATTTTCGTCCCCCTGAAGCCCGCCCGCGGCCTGGCCGACGTGCCGCCCGGCGCCTGGTAGTGACGTCATCGCCCAGGGTAAAAGCGTCGCGGCGGGCGTGCCTTTCTGGTCCCCGGTGACCGGAGGAAAGCGGGAAGGCGGGTTCTCCCGGGAGAGACTCTGAGGCGCTGGGGAGACCTGAACTTGGTTTCGCAAGGTTGGAAGAACATTTTTTTTTTTTTTTTTTTTGCAAAATTAAGTAGATCGTGTACTACAAGCAAAACACAGAAGTGTGAAAATGTCATAGTATTTTTTTATGGGCTGAGAATTCAGGTGTGCAAGTCGCTTTTACTTTTCGGGTCTCTGATTCTCGCGGCACCCTGCCCTCAGGAGGGGGGTGTGGCATGAATTCGCCTTTCACTGGTGGAGTGAGGAAAGATAAAGCCAGAATCCGAATGGTTGACCTGGACTACAACCCTTTCCTGCAGTTAGATTCCTAACCGGAGATTTCCCCCTTTGCACCACGGTTCCTAGCTAGCTGACAGCTAGAAGCCTATCAAACAAGAGGTATGAAATTTGAAAGACACACTGAAACTAAAGATCCCTGAAGTCACGGTATAAAAGAGTTCCTTTTAATACTAAAACGTATACCATCCAGCAAGGGTTAATCTTTAGTAGCCTGTGGAGTTTTGGCAATTTGACTGAAGATCAAATGGTTTAGCCCACGTTTCTTACCAGAAAAAAATTACATTGGGGAGGGGAAAGAATGCTCCAGTGTGGAATGGGTTTTGAAGGAGGTGGAAAGACAAGGGGAACGTTTACGGAGTCTACTTTTCAAATATTATTGATCACCCTGTTTTTACCAACCGAGTGATTCTGCTGGGTGACCTTTAACCCTCAGCAGTATTTAAAATAAAGAGTGGCAGTCAGAAGACCTGCGATTCATTCCCATCACTTATGCTCTACTAACCTTGGTGGCTTAGTCACTGTCCACACCTGTTTGTTCACCAACTGAATGAATATCCTATGATCAACTTTGTCAATCTTTGTTGAGAAGATCAAATGAGATAATACATATATAATAAGCTTTAAAATTTATAAAAACAAGGGTGCCTGCGTGGCTCGGTGGGTTAAGCATCGGACTTCGGCTCAGGTCATGATCTCACGGTTCATGAGTTCGAGCCCCACGTCGGGCTCTGTGCTGACAGCTCAGAGCCTGGAGCCTGTTTCAGATTCTGTGTCTCCCTTTCTGTCTGTCCCTCACCCACTTGTCTTCTCTCTCTCTCTCTCTCTCTCTCTCTCAAAAATAAATAAACAATAACTTTTTTTAATTTATAAAAACATACAGGCATTTCTTATGTGCCAGAAATGGACAGACACTGGTAATAATGATAGAGCCCTTTACAAGTTTAGTCTAGAAAAGAAAGCAAACATGTAGTCACGTATTAGCACAAGGAAGCAAATATTACAAGAATATTTTTAGCTCTTTTGAGGAAGATACAGTCACAGCTACAAAGGAGTTTTGGACTTGCCCGCTCCTGTTCCCAGCTCACTGCTGTTAGCTCTCTCCAAGGAACCAGTCATGAAGAAGCCACACCACAGCCATGGCTTTTAAAGACACCATAAAGACACCGGTGGAACCAGAGGTGGCAATTCACTGAATTAGAATTATTATAACCAGATGCAACTTAAAATCTTTGGAGAAGGTATATGCTGACTTGATCAGAGATGCAAAGGGAAAGAATCTCAAAGTGAAAGGACCAGTTCAGATGCCTGCTAGATTCACCACAAGAAAAACTCCTTGTGGTGAAGGTTCTAAGACTCAGGATCATCTTCAGATGAGGATCTACAAGTGACTCATTGATTTGCACAGTCCTTTTGAGATTGTTAAACAAGATTACTTCCAAGAGTATTGAGCCAAGAGTTGAGGGTGAACTCACCACTGCAGATGCTTAAATCAATTTTTTTAATAACTTGATTATCAGTTGTAAAAAAAAAAAAGAAAGAAAGAAAGCAAATTTTTAAATGCTGGTAATACAGCAGAAGAAGCAAGCCACTTTATTGGGGAATAGGGGAAATTGAAGAAAGGGAAGTATCAAGGAAGGCTGTGTAGATATACGATCTGAATTGGACCTTGTTGGGTAAGTTCAGTGTATGGTCAAAGGGAGGGAAAGCATTCAGGGCAGAAAATAGCCTGAACAAAGGCACAGTGGTATGAAAGTGCGTGATTCTGGAAAGCCAAACACTTCACTATAGTTAGAACATAAAGTTCAGAGGCGCCTGGGTGGCTCAGCCGGTTAAGCGTCCGACTTCAGCTCAGGTCACGATCCCGCGGTCCGTGAGTTCGAGCCCCGCGTCGGGCTCTGGGCTGATGGCTCAGAGCCTGGAGCCTGCTTCCGATTCTGTGTCTCCCTCTCTCTCTGCCCCTCCCCCGTTCATGCTCTGTCTCTGTCTCAAAAATAAATAAACGTTAAAAAAAATTATAAAAAAAAAAATTAAAAAAAAAAAAAGAACATAAAGTTCATACAAGTGGAATGACTAGAAAGGCAGACTGGGCCAGATTATGTTGAGTCTATATTAACACTTATATAACTGTCAATGTAGAAATCTATATTAACCATTGTATAAATGATATAGATATCATTTATCTATCTATATCTATCTTTTAATATAGAAAAGTTATTCAGTTCCTATTATTTGCTGCCATTATGGAAAATATACAAGAGACATAAAGCACTATCCCTTAACACTAAGGTAACTAACTGTTTTGGTTTGCCCAGGACTAAGGAGTTTCCTGCGATGTGGGACTTTTCAGTTGTAAAGCCTGCAAAGACCCAGGCAAACCAAGATCAGTTGGTCACTGTACTTACTACAAGAATAACCCATAGAAATCTGACCACGTATTCCATAGTATCTCTGAAAATATAGGCAATAATCCATTTGGGTTGTTTGTTTGTTTGTTGTGCCGGGAGCCTCATTCAATATATTTAGATTCCCCAGTACATATCCATCAGATTTTTGGCTCACATGCCAATGTTCATCTTCATGCTTACGTAAGAGAGCTACCGGTTCCAGAACTATGACTATGCCAATAGTGCATGTGGAATGCGGTAGTAAGATCTTTATCTGTAGGCCAATTACTGTTTTTAATCCCCTAAAAAGATTTCTGCGCTAAAGACTAATCCTTTCTAACCCCTGTCGGTTTTTAAGGTGAAATGTGAAAATAAATTCACTTAATCCTTTATATATGAAAAAGTAATCTCTTGTGTCATTCTCTCTTGTATCATGATAAGCATTGCAAAGTGGTCTTCTTGGATGGTATACGATGCAGATGTGGAAATGTTCTGAATGGCTTGTGAGCACTTGAAATGTGGCTAGTGAGAATAGGGAGTGATTTTTTTTTCTTTTTAAAGATTTCATGGGTATGAATTTAAAATAATACTGAAATAGCCACATGTGTCTATTGGCTACCATGTTGGACAGTGAAGTGATATAAGAACCATTTCATACACTTTTAGTTGGGCTGGAAATAGTGAAAATATTTTTCAAACATTGATAAATCTGAATCCCAGTTGCTGTAGGCTTCAAATTAGAGCATACTTACTAGTATCACCACAGTTCATTTATGAAAATAAATGTTTAGGGCTGCCTAAATGAAGCCAAGTAAAGAATTATTTCTGTCTTCGCTAACGTAACCTATCTGTGGTTAGCTTTAAAAGACCCTTCTGAAGCAGTTAAGAAATACACATTTTATTTCCAACTCCAGTTGAAAATAAGACTTCATGATTTAGTCAAATACATAATATTCATTGATAAAATAATGAATTTTAAGTTTATTGTTTTCAGCTTCATGGTAATGAATCAAGTCAGCGGGCTATGGTCAGAGATGGTTATTTCTTAAGTGTTAATTTAGTCTTTTTTAAACGTTCTGATTTTCCCTGCATCTAAAACTCTTTCTTTTTTTGGTCTCTCAAATGTGCTTTATCCTCACACTTCTTTTGCCTCACTATTTAAAATTATCAAGTTATTCCTACTTATAATTTTCAGAAATATGTTATGAATTTCGTGAGATAAACACTAGAGAGCACAGGTTTTTTGTTGTTCTTTTCTTTTCTTTTCTTTTCTTAATCAGTAGCTTTTGAATAGTTTACTTTTGTATTTACAGAACAAAAGCTTCCAGGACTATCTCCTTCCATTAAATGGACCAGAGTAATAAATCAAGAATATTATATAATCTAAAACAGCAGTCTAAGGTAATTTAAAGTTTTTTTTTTTTAATGTCAGAATGAGATGGTCTATTTCAGCCTTTATTCCATCCACCCACCTTTCTCTTCTCTCCTCTATAATACCTTCTCTATGGAATTTTAACATAATGTCATTTTAATCACTCAGTGGTGTTGCTTTTTTAGTAAGAGAAACACTATCCTGGAGAAATACCCAAATTTGCACATCATTGTTTCTCAGATATGTTCATATATGGTGAGCGCTATTGCTACATTATTATGACATGATGATATATTTAATTCCATCATTCAAACTAATAATTTTTTCCAGTGTATGACAATATTATATGCTTCTAACACAAAGCACGACCACTAACCCTTATTTTCAAAACAAGTAAAAACAGTCTCTAAATTAAGCTACACTTAAAAATCCCCAGTTTTCCATTGTACTTGCCCTATTTATTTGTTCAAATGAGATATGGTAAAGCAAAAATTTAATAAAAATTATTATAGCGAGGTTAAGATTAAGAAGATTCTGTCCATTAGCTTACTCTTTCTTTAAAAATGGTGAAGAAATTATTCCATTTTAATAACAAAATATCTAAATCTACCATGAAAAACACTAGTGTTCTGCCTGAGCATGATTTGAAACTACTGGTTCAGACTATTCTAAGTTAAACTACATTTTCAACTTCTAATTTGTATCCAGGTGGATGTTCGCTCAGTTCCTGGCTGTGTTAGAGGCTGTTTTGAACAATAAAGCATAAATTGGGAAAACGGGATCAAGGGAGGGAAGGAATCAAAACAATAATACAAAGGCTAGCCCAGATTCAACATAATTGAATGGTAGATATTTTAATTCTCTTTTCCATTCATTAGCTCGGAAATACCATGACTGTCTGACCAGTCGAAATGCCAGAAATATAATCCTCCTTTTGGAAAGAGCCTGGCCAAGTGAGGAAAAGACCCAGTTTTCTTAGAATGAACAATTACTGTATCCAGTTTTCTAAACCTGTATCCAGAAAAAGAAATAAAATTATGGATGAAATTTTAAATAGCAATCATCTGATTGCTGATTTCCCTCCTACCAGAACATATTTTAACATGCAGTATGGAAGAGCAGCTCTCCCATTAATTATGCACCACTTTTCTCCTAACTTCAGTATGTCCCCATCCACTTGCCTATTTTCAGTTCCTCAAATAAATTATGCTTTTTTTTGTCCTTGCCCCAGAGTTTTCACACATACAGTCCCTCTCCTGGATGGTTCCTCTCCTCACTTTTTGTCTGGGTTTAAATACCATCTCTTCAGGGAGGCCCTCATTTTACATCTCATTCTACTATCCTATACTTTTTCCTCATAGCGCTTAACCATAATTTATAATTATACCTACACAAATATATACATACAGGCTCTTTCCAGACTGTAATCAAAAGCCCTCTGTTTGTTTTATCCAACATCTAGAACAATGCCTGGCACAGTTGGCCCTAACACTCACCGTTTTAAAAATATTTGAATAAATACATAAGTATTTTGTAAATTTGACTTATGTGAACAGGCAAGAAACAACGAGATTCCATAGGACTTTATCATTTTGTGCCAAGCCACTCTATCTCCCTTCTCTCTATTGCAGCTTAACACCCATTTAAATCCTGAGGAATCATTGTGGTATTCCTACAGATGCAAGAATCATTATTCAGTTGAATGACTCATCATGACTCCATCAGGATTCCAACGTCTACAAAATTTTCAGCTGCCAGCTATGTTTCCTATGGCAGCCTTAGATGTCCCTCCAGAGCACCCAGAATATTCTTTAAAATCACAGATAACTTGTTCAGATAAATTGTCATCATCATGATATTTTCAGTATTTTTAAACAGTAGGAGGCTACTATCATCATCCAGAAGCTCACACAAAAACGATGACCTCGTTATTTTAGTCATGTGAGACTTGTTTAAAAAAATGTTTTTAACATTTATGTATTTATTTGAAAGACAGAGAGAGACAGAGTGTGAGCGAGGGGAGGGGGAGAGAAAGAGGGAGACACAGAATCTGAAGCAGGCTCCAGGCCCTGAGCTGTCAGCACAGAGGCCAATGCGGGACCCGAACCCACAAACCGTGAGATCACGACCTGAGCTGAAGTCGGACGCTTAACCAGCTAAGCCACCCAGGCGTCCCTGTATCATACCATCTTTAAGCATGTCCTGCCTTGCAGTATTACTGGCAGACTGAGGTTCTCCTTTTGGCTACAGCAGATTTTAAATGAAACAGATATGAGTAGGAAGGGAAAAAACAACGAAACTACCATTTATTGAGCACATATGTGCCAAATATTGTCCAAATATATATATTCTCATTCAGTCCTCACAACAACCCTGTGAGGTAGGTATTATCCCCATTTACACGTGAGGAATCAGTGTTCTGGCAATGTAGATTATCTCTTGAATTTTTCTGTTGACATTAATTTATTATTTGTATTATTATTTATAATAATAATTACATTATTATTTATATGTAAATAAATATCCATTTATTTACTTTCATGCTCTCTATTATAGAGATTTTGGCAGCTATATACTAGAAAATCCTATTTTTACCCAATAAATATTAATTTAATGAAGTGTCACGGTACATCAGTGAATGATTGAAAATCAGAAACTACCATCCTTCTGTCTCAGATGACATCGTTTTCTAACCCTTTTAAAGACCTTCTGGACTACTAAGCATTCACATTTCCTACTTATTAAATACATAGTACAGGTGACCCTTGAACAACACAGGGATTAAGTGCGCCGACACCTGCACAGTCAAAAATCTGTATATAACTTTGGACTCCAAAACTTAACTAGTAATAGCCTACAGTTGACCAGAAGCCTTACCAAAAACATAAACGGTCAATCAACACATATTTCGTATGTTCTATGTATTATACACTGTAATCTTACAATAAATAAACTAGAAAAAAAGAAAATGTTAAAATCATAAGGAAGAGAAAATACATTTACAGTATTGTACTGCATTTATCAAGAAAAAAAAATCCATGTGTAAGGGAACCCACACATTTCAAACCTATATTGTTCAAGGGTCAACTGTATATTCATTGTCAGCCTAAAGGGGCTGACAGTCTTATGGGGACCAGGAAGCTAGTCTGATGAACAATAGATGTTGAATGTTCTTAATCATGAAAGGACCCCTCCAGCTCCAGTTAAAAGTATTTCCAGCAGAGTTCACTTGTCTCATAAGTAGATAAAAGGAGACCATCTTTCTCCTATCTGTACCCAAAGGGAAGCTCACAAGTTTGCCTTCCTGGTCCTCCTCCAGTCCCGCAAGGATGGACCAGGATTGAAGAACTTTATCTCTCTCCTTCCTCCACCACCTCTTTGAAGGATGACCTTGGTGCACATCTATACTCCTTTTAATTCTCTTTCTCATCAGCTTCTTTGTCAGCTTTCTATCCCCTCAGCTGACTGCAACTTCTCTGGGCCCTGTAATAAGTTAGGTAGAGGCATGCTTCAAGAGGAAACCAGCCTGTGGTGGGAGGGCCAGCTTATGAGTGCAATGCCAGACAAACACTGGAGATTTCCAAGCCCTTCTTTGCAACGCTACTATCCACCACCGTCTACCCTGGGTCTTCAGGACTGAGACAGCAGAGATGAAATTGTACTCCTCAGTCTCCATGGTAGACGGTGTGGAGAGCCTCATTTCGCATCACTTCAGGTATCCAGGGAAATGTGTAGGGGAAGGTCCTATTTCTCCCTTTATGTCCCGCTAGAAAGCTGTTTTCTGTCCTTGGAGGAGTTCTTTTCAATAGGATGTGATCACCAGTCAATGTTTCGTGCCCAAGGATCTTCAAAGGATGCTGTAGCTGTAGGAGAGGCTCTCCAGGCTGATACCTGCGACAGCTGCATACAGCTCAGGCACCACCAGCTCAGGCACTTGCAACACAGCCTTGTCATTGGCAGATCGAGCGGCAGTTTCGAGGCGTGAGTGTAGCTCTTTGAGTGAAGGGCGGCTCTCCTCACTCCAGCGCCAGCAAGACTTCATAAGATTGTACCTGAAAGGGGAGCAAGAGAAACCGACTTCCTTGACAAGGCAAATATTTGAGGAACACATCTCTTCCAGTAAAACTTAACAACAACAACAACCACCCCGCGATTGTTTAATCTACTTCTCATTGTCCTCTTATATTCTTTCCAGAGAATAATATTCCTTTCTTTTCCTAATACTAAATCTCTTAACATCATCTTCTCATCAGGGTCCTTTTCATAATAGGAATGACTGGGGGCATCTGGGGGGGCTCAGTCGGTTAAGCATCTGACTCTTGGGTTTCCGCTCAGGTGATGATCTTGCGGTTCGTGGGTTGGAGCCCTGCATCAGGCTCCACGCTGACCATGCGGAGCCTGCTTGGGATTCTCTCTCTCTCTCTCTCTCTCCCTGTCTCTCTGCCCCTCCCCTGCTTGCTCTGTCTCTCAAAATAAAGAAGTAAACTCCAAAAAAAAAAAAAATTATAGTAGGAATGACTGAGGATTTCTCAAACTAGAATCGGTATGACAAAGCAGTTGCTTTCATTCTATTACCAAAAACTCTCACAAGTTAAGTGTTTCTCATCTTTAGATGTTACTAACTTGTAGCATGACAGGCCATGGCTATAGGGTGTCTCCCAGTAAAAGCTACACCAAGCCAGGAAAATAAGAAATAGAAGAAGAAGAATACAATAAGAAGAATAATATGATTCATATTATTTTGAGTAATCTAGTTAATTAAATATTTCCTTTCATTAACCCAGGCCATTTCCCTCTTTTATTATTTAGCTTCTCCAGGAAATTGCCTTAATCTAGATAAAAGTACTTACCACCTTAAGCTGTCTTCTCTTCAGCCCAGTTTACAAAGAATGAATAATGTCTGTTATCAGACACTTTTTTCATGTCTCATCCCTCTCAAGAACCTACAGTGGCTTCCATGTAAAGCCGACATCCTCCCTGCTAGCTTCTCTGCCTCAGAGACCTTGCCTAACTGAACCCTCTCCTCCAGCTAAGTCAGTGTCTTGCAATGCCTTAGATGTGGTTTTTAACACCCAACTCTGTCTTTGCTGGTGCTATGCCCAATTCCTCGAATACCCTCTATGGTCATCATTTCCTGCAGGTTTGTTTTAGGTCTCAATTCTTCTGTGCAACCTTCCCTTAAAAACCTCAGCCCACACTGCGTCTCCCACACTCCTCACTGTCGTACAGTGTAAAAGATGCCAATTTAATAACACTGATGACATTTAGCAAGAACTTATTTATTTTATAAGGCATGGTAGTGGAACTTAACATGCATTGTTTTATTTTAGCCTCACAATAACATTGAGGTAGGATTATCATTATACCTATTTCAAGAAAAGTCAACAATGTTCAGTAAAGTAGCAGGACTAGGAGTGAACATGTGTCTTTTTGACTCTATGACCTGAGTCTGAACTTTTCATCATTCTTTTATATGGCCTCCCATTTTATGTTGATTTTCATATTGCTTTTAGATATCTCCTCATCCAAATACTAAATTCTTGAAGATCAGATACTTTATTGGTTCAGTGTCTGCCCCCCCCCCCCCCCGGTAGGGGGGACAGCTTTTTACACATTAAAAAAGCCAAGGGGCGCCTGGGTGGCGCAGTCGGTTAAGCGTCCGACTTCAGCCAGGTCAGGATCTCGCGGTCCGTGGGTTTGAGCCCCGCGTCAGGCTCTGGGCTGATGGCTCAGAGCCTGGAGCCTTGTTTCCGATTCTGTGTCTCCCTCTCTCTCTGCCCCTCCCCCGTTCATGCTCTGTCTCTCTCTGTCCCAAAAATAAATAAACGTTGAAAAAAAAAATTTTTTTTTAAAAGCCAACAAGAAAGCTTTCAACAATCATTCCAGTGTATCCACGCAGTATTATTATACTATACATATGCATGTGCGTGAGTGTGTGTGTGTGTGTATATAGTTATGATATTTAACACTTATAATCTGCTTGATACAGTCACTGTTCATTGATGTTAAACTCAGGTGATGGAAATTTACCCTTTCAACGCTGAAAAATTTATAAATACCAATAATTTTATAAGAAATGTATATTAATATATTCTCCCCTGACTTCTTATAAATATTTTAACCTTTCCTTATATTCTTTAACAAGCCCTTTTTGTACTTCATTGGTTTTGAAACTCTGTGTGTAATTTTTAATTTTTCCATTTTCTGCCTCTGCATTGGCTCACCAGCTGTCCCTTTCTGCTGACATTATTGGCTATTCCTCCCATCTTTCTAATTTCTTCCTACCCTCCTTCTTCTGGTTGCCTTCTAATTTGATCAGAATTGGAAAAAATAGATAGTCCATAGTTTTTAAAAGTTAAATGCTAATAAGAGTCAGTGAGTAACTAGGGGAATGGATTTTATGGCAGCCATATTAGAGCTGAGGCTGGTAGTCTCTGACTGATACTGACATTTAGACAGACAAAACACTACTATATTTGCGTTGGATTTGGTCCCCTCCTTACCTATTTTAGAAGGTTCTGAAAGAGTTGAACTTTATCTACTTAGAACCCTCATATAGTTCTCAGTAGTTGCTTCAACATTGTGTGTGGGTGTACACAGATATACACACACATATACACATATGTAAATATATATGATATATGAGCAGATGTATTTTACCGCATAGGTATGTCTAAGGCTGTATATTAGCACATAAAGGACAGATAGGGATCATCTGAGCCACTTTAGAAGGGCAAGATCGACGGGGATCAAAAAGGCATTGTAATGAGAGGAGAGGAGGTCCTAAAAGCCACTTACATGGTATGCGTGCAACTACTTGGTTTCTTCATAATTTTCCTTCTTTGGAGATGCTGCAGGATGCTGGTTGGAGGAACTTCAGGATATGGCGGTGCCCCTGTTGGCATGGAAAAAAAGGAGAGCAGCAAGGGAACCTTAGGTCCTCTAGAATACCAACTATAACATGACTCTTCATGCACCGGGGCTAACTGCCTGCAAAAGGTGGAGCCAAGGGGAAAATACTAGAGACAATATAAGTGTTCCCTGGTGATCAAGTCACGACACAGCTTAGAGAGTCTGGGGGGTAGAAAAGGTGTTTGGGAGGAAAAAACCTGAAAATTTAGGATAATGTTGAGTCTTTACAAAAGTACCAAAGCAAAGTGAGAAATGAGATGTGCCCTCTACTCCCCAAGCACGGGAAAATACTGCATTTTCTCAATCAAATGGATTAATACATCTCAGGACAATACATTTATGTTTATACAAAATCACCCTTGGAATTATTCTTTGGACTTTAAAATGTGCTTTGGAATTGGTAAAGTGTTAAGGAAAAGAAAGCAAAAAAAAAAAAAAAACAAAAAAAATTAAAAGGATGAGGGGGATTTCATGTCAGCCCAGTTCAAACCTGAGATTGTAGGGAAACCTCTCCTCAGAATATGCCGCCCCCCACTCAAATAAACATACTTGGATATTTGCATCCAGGTATATACTACTTTAGGGACCCTCCTTACCTAGAGTCACCATCTCATAAAGCAGGATTCCAAAGGACCAGCTGTGAAAGAAACAAAGCCATTTACTTAGTTTCTATTTCTGCCTTTCCTAAAGAGAGCTCATTTCAACTCTCAGAGGTCTTCAAATAAGAACCCTATAAAGAAGACAATGAAGGGGAAATTAAGGGCGTCTGATAACATAAGCAAAGTAATTAAAAAGCACTGCTGCTCAATCCCCTTCAAGTCTAATCTCTTTGTGGACTGGCTTTATGTCTCCTTTCTTCTACATTTCACATTAATGGATGTTTATTATTATTTGCTACACTGTGTGTATATTTATGGAAACACACAAACACATCTACACAAACAAAAAGAAATGACCCTGTGCATCCTTTTCATCCTTTCCATTTCTTCCTGCTGAAATTCTAACCTTTATTCTTAGCACAAATCCCAGTGAGGCTTTAATCATTTATCTACTATTTCCCCAATAGCTCTAACTGCCCAAACCTAGGAAACACATTAACAGAGCAAGCGTTACACATAATGGGAATAGATATTTGCCAGAGCAATATGATTTGAGAGATGTATATTTCACTATTCTATAACATCATCATTAAACAAGCCATATTTCCTAGTTAAACTTATTACTCCCAGACCCCTATTGAAAAGCAGATGTGAGTGAAGCAGCAGTGGAAGTCTTTTGATTGACTCACCATATTAACTTATGTTCTAATTTTTTTCTGCTGCTCACAACATTCAGGCTAGTAAGATATTCTATATTACCTCTCTGTGCTTCTCCAAGCTGCTGAATTATCTGGTTACCAAAAACCAATCATGATTCTTTACAATACTGTTTATGCCATCATATGTATCAATGTAATTATGTAATCAATTAAATATCAATGCAAAAAAAAATGCATTAGCTCCTGAAAACTAGGTTGGATGCTTTGAAAGTATTCTATAAAAATAAGCTGCTAAAAAGAAAGTGTTGTCCAATTGTGTGGGAGAGCCAACAGTAGAAAATTGGAAAAAATAATAATCAGTGTCTGCAGTCAAATTGCTTCACAATTTTTTTCAAGTTTCTCACTCAGAATCATCTCACGCAAAAACTCAAAAACAATGTATTATGCATGCTTTTACACAAGAAATACAACGTATAACTTCATTTAGGAGGTCCGTCCTCATAGAGAAAGCCTTGGCCCTCCCCTAAAAGACCAATGAATACACACATATTTATACGTTTTAAGCCAAAATAAATTATTTGAAGTATGTATATTTCTTTTTATTTTAATAATTACTAGTTTAACAGCTTTTGATTAAGCGGACCTACCTCCTTCAGATAAAGGGGTCTCTACTAGATTAAATCCTTGGATATTGGTATGAATAATCTTTTCATTTTTCTTTTCTCTTTCCTAATTATGGCTGCTAATCTAATACAGGAGTCAAACTTTAAAAGACACTAAAAAGGACTGTAGCCAGATGCCCAATATGAGCTCTGTCACAAAACACACATTTGCCCTTGAGAGTCTGTCTGACTTCTAAATAGAGATTTCACATGTAGACATAACTGACAATAGACACAGTCATGGTCAGGGACTGGAGGACACCTAGGTCAAGAAGGGAAGAAGTCTGGGACACCTGGGTGGCTCTGACTTGATTTCAGCTCCGGTCATGATCTCGCGGTTAGAGAGATCAAGCCCTGCATCAGGCTCTGCACTGACAGCAGGGAGACCGCTTGGGATTCTCTCTCCCTCTCTCTCTGCCCCTCACCCCATCACGCTCAATCTCTCTCTCTCTCTATCTCCCCAAAATAAATAGAGAAAAAAGAAGGGAAGAAGTCCAAAGAGCAGGAACAAACCGTACACATCTCCTCTGATGCCAGCTGGTCTCAGCAGAAGCCGTTCTGGGGCGAGCCACTTGAGAGGTATGGGGTAAGTAGCTGGGATTGCCCCTCGGGCATGGACTTCATAAGCCAGGCCCAATCCACAGAGCTTAGCAGTAAGATCACATTGGATCAGGATATTCCTGGCTGCCACATCCCCATGGAACAGATGCTTATCCTGGAGAAATTCCTGTCAGCATAAGATAAGGACGGATCAGCTGTCTGAGGTCATGGCTCGAGTCACAGACAAGGAGAAACAGTCCTAGGAATCCTCAAAAAGACACGGACATTTTCAACTCTGAACAAGCCTCATTGATAACGACATATCACTTCCAAGGCACTCTAATAAATCGCACATTTTTGCACTGTGTTTAGGATTACCAAACTGAACAAATAACCCGGATAGCTTTAATAAGGTTTGGAAAGTATGATCAGCCGCTCTGAGTCAAGCTCTAACTCCTGCCTGATTTTACATTCCTCTCAGATAGGACCCAGCTAGCTATCAGAAAAGGAAGCCGGTTTCAAGTCTCTAGCAGCAATCACCCAAACAAGGTAATATATGCACAGTGAAATTGAGGGCCATAGTAATGAATTTACACAGAGCTTTATATCATCTCATTTTGTCCCTAAAATAACTAAGGTGAGTTAGGGAAATACCTTTGCGATAAATCTAAATGATTACGTAAAGCCCCACCGCTTTGAGTGGTAGTAACCAGAACGAGGTATTCTAATTCATAGGAAGTACCGCAAATTCTACTCATAATTCTCAAGTCAGGCTGCAGACAAGAATTAATTGCCTGAGAGCTTTTGAAAAACACACACTTTCCACACCAGCTGTACTTAACCAAAATCTAGGAAGAGGAACCTGGTAATCTTTATTTTTATGAAGTGTCGCAATGATTCTAGCACAGCCAACAAAGCATTTAAAAACCATTGCACCTGGATGATGCTGATTTGCTGCACTCCTTCCCCCCCAACATCAGGCTATTCAAGGGATAAGAAGCTGAAAATCTGGGGCGCCTGGGTGGCGCAGTCGGTTAAGCGTCCGACTTCAGCCAGGTCGCGATCTCGCGATCCGTGAGTTCGAGCCCCGCGTCGAGCCCGACGCTCTGGGCTGATGGCTCAGAGCCTGGAGCCTGTTTCCGATTCTGTGTCTCCCTCTCTCTCTGCTCCTCCCCCGTTCATGCTCTGTCTCTCTCTGTCCCAAAAATAAATAAAAAAAAATAAATAAATAAATAAATAAATAAATAAATAAATAAAAAGAAGCTGAAAATCTATACATGACCAAAGAGCTAGAGATTGAGGTCTATGACTGCTGAACAAGAATGACATTAAAAAAAAAAAAAAAAAAGGTGAGAGGGTAAGTGGTTCATTTCCAGTCCTTGATGATGAAGGAACCAGTGACTGGCAGTTTTCTGTCCCCGTGAGGCGAAGTTTTAGAGCAAAGAAATTATTAAAGAATTAAAGAATGTCGTGACTTTGTGGTTGTTAAAATTAAGAAAAAAGATAGTATGATATTGCCTTGTAACTGGTAATCTTGAACCTGGTAACCTGGTCAACGCATCCGTGTGGGGCACCACCACAGTTGTGGCTCAGAATACAAGGTAGGCTGTATTCTGACACCCGGACTTTATCAAGGGGACATACCAATTAGGCCTTCCAAACGCTGTAGACAATATTCATTTATACATGTATACTACTGCTCTTTCACACCTCACTCCTTCTTTTCTAAGCTTTCCCAGATTCCATTTATATCCCTGGTACATTTCACATCTCAAGGAGGCAAGATCTACCAAACGCTTAAACTGGTAGCCTCACAGACCCTGATTTTCTATACCAAATGCTAATGTTAAACACTATTATCTAAATAACTTCATAGAAATTGTCATCTAAATTTCCTGGTTAATCCTGACAAAGGTACATTTTTTTTTTCTCTTTAATCTTGCTTTATTTCTCTTACCTCTTTATCTAAGTTGGCTTAAAATGAAGGAATGATCTCACTGTTGCCCCTTCTGATATCTTCTCTCCCACTATTCCTTGTTCTTTTTGAAGTTTATATATTTCCTATCACATTTGGTATCAAAACAAGTCTCCAACCAAACGTGTCCTGAACTAGTCTTTCCTGTTTTTCAGGTACAAAATTGTACACTTCCTTGTGGCTCTGCAGCCTTTCACCCATTTGGTTTCTCTTCCTGTGTCTCCTCCCAACTTGCTCATTATTTGCCATGTTATATCTCTTCATGTTAGTATATATGAGAAAGTAAGAGCATAAAGCATCTAACTCTTGGCCCTGAGTTTTGACCTTTAAGATTGAGAAACCCTTGTAATGTCTATTTTATTTTTGAGACACAGAGACAGAGCATGAGCAGGGGAGGGGCAGAGAGAGAGACACACACACAGAATCCCAAGCAGTCTCCAGGCTCTGAGCTGTCAGCACAGAACCCGATGCGGGGCTCAGACCCACCAACCACGAGATCACGACCTGAGCCAAAGTCGGACGTTCAACCAACTGAGCTACCCAGGTGCCCCAAGACTGAGAAACCTTTTAAAACCTGTCCTGTTCCTTCTACAAACCCTAAGTTGACTACTTTCTGCCCAGAATTACCCATCTTGTAGTATATTATCTAAATAATTTCATAAAGAAAGAAGCAAAAACAATTTATCAGTGCTTAGGTTTCTGCCCCCTAACTTCCATTTGATTTTCTCTATAATGTATACCCCATTTGGAAATATAAATATTAGAAATATGATTTCAAATACCAGGCTAACAAGAAACATCCATACTATCTGTGGTCATTTTGCCCAGCCTTACCAAAGCCTGGAGGACCTGCCTTCCGATGTGATATACTTGTTTTTCTGTGAGATCGTAGAGAAGGCCATCCATGGTCATCACATCCTAAAGAGACAAAGATAAAAGCATTATATCAGAATGACATGAACAGATTTGAAAAAAAAAAAAAAAGAGAGAGAGAGAGAGACACAGAGATATTCTCTTTTTTTAAGTTTTACTTTAAAGTCTAGTTGGTTAACATATAGGGCAATATTGGTTTCAGGTACAGAATTCAGTGATTCATCACCCACATATTACATCAGGGCTCATCACAAGTGCCCTCCTTAATACCCATCACCCATCAAGCCCATCGTCCCCCCCCCACCGCCCCACCACAGCAACCCTCAGTTTGTTCTCTATAGTTAAGAAGCTTTTATGATTTGCTTCCCTCTGTTTTTCCCCCTTCCCCTATGTTCATCTGTTTTGTTTCTTAAATTCCACATATGAGTGAAGTCATATGGTATTTGTCTTTCTCCAACTGACTTATTTCACTTAGCATAATATGCTCAAGCTCCATCCACATCATTGCAAATGGCAAGATTTCATTCCTTTTGATGGCTGAGTAATATTTCTTTGTACACACCACATCTTCTTTATCCATTCACCAGTCAATGGACATTTGGGCTCTCTCCATAGTTTGGCTATTGTTGATAGTGCTACTCTAAACATTGGGGTGCATATGCCCCTTTGAATCAGTATTTTTGTATCCTTTGGGTAAATACCTAGCAGTGCAATGGCTGGATTGTAGGGTAGTTCTATTTTTAACTTTTTGAGGAACCTCCACACTGTTTTCCAGAGTGGCTGCATCAGTTTGCATTCCCGCCAACAGTGTAAGAGAGTTCCCCTTTCTCCACATCCTTGCCAACATCTGTTGTTTCCTGTGTCGTTAATTTTAGTCATTCTGACAGGCATGAGGTGGTATCTCATGGGCTTCTTTTATTTGTATTTTCCTGTTGATGAGTGGTGTTGAGCATCTTTTCATGTCTGTTAGCCATTAGTATGTCTTTGGAAAAATGTCTGTTTGTGTCTTCTGCCCATTTCTTACTGGATTATTTATTTTGGGGGTGTTGAATTTAATAAGCAGAGTTCTTAAATGCAAGTATCAAGGCAAAAGAAAAGATACAAAAACAGGGACTAAGATTCAAAGAGAGGCTAATATCAGAGATTCTCAGATATGCAGAGAAGTACAATGATTTAGTGGCCTGGAAAAACAATACAGAATGTAGATGAATCACAGAATGACGGAAGGTAAGAAATACAAATATATATAAGACTATCCCCTGGATAAAGCAACAATTTTCCTGGGATAGTGTGTGTGTGTGTGTGTGTGTGTGTGTGTGTGTGTGTCAGAGAGAGCGATAATTAAGCACATTAATCCAACACATCATCATTGAATGCCTAATATGTGCCATGTTCCATCTTAGGACCTCAGAACACAAGAGGGAGCAAAATAAACATATCTGCTGCCTTCCGGATCTTACAATGTGACAAACACGTGTGAATCATAATCAAATAATCATGCATAAATATATGCACCATGAAAGTCATGGAAAATAGCACATGATGGTGACAAGAAAAGATCTGAAGGATGAGTGGACAATGACTATGCAAAAAAGAGAAGGGAGAAGTTTGGTGTAATGAGGAAAGCATGTTCCAATGGTCTAAAATAAAGAAGCATAATTGTTTTGAAAATAGAAGCTAGTGAGGTTACAGCAGAGAACAAGTTACAGATGGATAACCTCTTAAAAAGAGTTAAACGCCTAAAGACTTGCACATCATCCTGTTTGTACCTCGTTTGGATGAAAACAGGGTCCCTTTATCATACACAATTAGTAGTAAAATAATCAGTCTATTGAGGAGGCTTGATTAATATTGAACTTGTCCATTGGTTAAGTGAGGAACTAACTAGGAAAATGCAGCACTTCAGAAAGACGAATATATAGAGAAGTAGGAAAATTGTTAGGAAAAGAACTTGCATTTTAGTCTGGAAATTTCTGAACATTTAAATTTTTTTTAATAAGAATTTAAAGTACAAAAACTTTCAAGCTGATTTCGCCTCATCCACCCTGGCATACTAGAGCAATGTTACGGAATAGAAGACACACTTTTAAGACTAACAGCAACAAAATTACAAGCAGTACTAACAAGAGTTTTTACATGCATAATTTCTGTTAATTTTCATAATAATTTATTTTTATCCCCATTTTACAGATTCAGAAAATTCAGGCTCAGAGAGGTGGCCTGCCCAAAGTCACACAGCTAGTACGATGCAAAGCGTAGAGTTCATATTCTAATCTGCACTGCCCAGTCTGGTAGCCATTAGCCACATGTGGCTATTTAAAAGTTTATTATTTAAAATTAAATAAAATTAGCAATTCAGTTTCTCAGTCACATCAGCCACACTGCAAGTGCTCCATAGCCGCATGTGATTAATGGCTACCATTTTGGACAGAGCAGATATAGAACATTTCTATCATCATAAAAAGTTCTATTGGATGGTGATACTCAGTCATTCTGTTATGTTACTATAATGTCTCTCTGCTTCGTCATTTGCCAGGCTAATTGACATGTGAACAGCTAATCAGCCAAGTCAAGCCTTTCCTTCCTAACACCTCTACACTACCGCTTACCCGCCGGCAGGTCCAGAGAAAGCTGAGCAGGTCTCCTTGGGCCACATCCTCCAACACCATATAGAGCGGCAGCCCTTCTGTGCAGCAGCCTTCCAGCTGTACCAGGTTCTTGTGCTTCCCCAAGTACTGATAGAATTGGATTCGCCCTAAGAAATCCTGCACCTCATAGAGCCCAACTGGTTCTGTGGAGGACAGGAGAGCGATGGGAAGTAAGCAGTCAGAACATTACCAATAAAATGGGAGGTATGAGGGAGGAAGCAACCTCAGATGGCAAAGCTCCAAAGGAGAGTAAGTATAGACAAAAAGTAAATAGAAAGGGAACTAATTAGAAGATAATCCTCAATGTCACTGCTTTTTTGTCAAAGCTAACATAGAATCATAGGTTTTAGAACTGGATAGGCTTTCATTTGCCTAAATAGACAAGTGTTCACATTCAAATATGATCACTGCCTAGGCCTTTTGATTAGTATTCTTGTTTATCCTATCCTTGTTCTGTTGTATCTATCCCCTATTACTGGCCCATATGAAAGAAAAAAAAAGGGAAAGAGGGAGGGAGGAAGAAAAGAAGGAAGGAAAGAAGGAAGGAAGGAAGGAAGGAAGGAAGGAAGGAAGGAAGGAAGGAAGGGAGGGAGGAGGAAGGAAAGCAGGGAGGGAGGAAGAAGGAAGGGAAGAAAACAGCATTAGGGAAAGTGATAGTGCAGAAAAAGAAGGAACAACTTCAAAATCCTCATGCAAGTAATATCCATATGAAAAACTGAGTTCTAGCAGCCTCAATAGGCAAGCTTGAGCTAGAGAAGGTCCCTAAAGAAAACATTTCGGCCTCAAGTTTTCACTTTCTATTCCCTTCTTATTCTGCGCACAATGGTGATCCCAGCTATCTGTTGATGAGTCTTCATGTCGGCAAGCTTGTCAGCATTCACTGTTGAGGGCTCACAATGGAAACGTGAAAAAGGGGAAAGGAAGTCAAACACTTCTCCTTTTACCTTTCAAAGCCTTGATGACAACGCTCTTTGGCTTAGCAGGGTCCCCAGTGTACATCTTGGTTCGATAGATGGCTCCATAACTACCACTGTGGATCTGCTCCAGAGAATCACAGAATTGCTCCCGGGGCACTTGCAGCTTAGCCAGAGCATGAGTCATGGTTTGTAGGAGGCTTTCCACCGATGTCTCTTTAAGTGGCACAAACACGCTTCCTCCATGACCTGCTGCCTCCAAGCTTAAGCCCCTAGATGGAGGCACAGGGGCAATGCCTAGAACGAAAAGATGATACCAACCACCGGTTCCCTACCCCAGGGACTCGAGGAGAACAGAACCTGGAACAAACTGGCAAGGAAGTCCCCTTAGCAATTTTCTCTCTGCCCAATGTGAGGATAACTTCTGAGTCTTCTCTGTGAACCAGCATCAATAGCAACCTTTCTAGAATATTTATAATAACCCCATTACTTCTAAGACAACTCAAGATGGATCTCTGGAAAGTGGCAATGACATTTCCTTTTCTGTCTCTCTCGGGATTATAGTTCAGTATAAGTCTAGTATGGAGACAATTAAGGAAGTTCCTGAATAGGTACTCTACCTCCAGGTACTTAAAGGTAGTGGTAGCTACTAGGAGGGGCGATTGATTAAGTCGATCAATGGCTTTTTTTTTTTTTTTTTTTTTTTTTTTTGATCAATGGCTTTTAAAGGTGGAGAGGACGGTATGGATAACTCCTCAACTCCAAGCCATGGTTATTCTTCCTCCCTTAAGATGTTCCCAAAGTTAATTATTGCATATTTCCTATAGCCTCAGTCAAAAAAAAAAAAAATCTTCTGGTATTTTCCCCTTTTCTTAGTCAACTTTTCTCCATTGGAAACGAGAAATTCATTCTTCTCATTAAATCTCCATTCATTCATTCCATCTATTCGACAAATATCACATGTTGTGTGCCAGGCATTGTTCTAGGTGTTGCAAATAGGCAAAGTCCAGATTCTTATGATTACCCTCTAATGGTAGGAGAAAGGAAGCAGATAATAACAAACCAGGTGATGAGTGTTATGAAGGAAAATAGCAAAGTCAGAAACACCAATGATTCTATTTTACATTTGAAGGTCAGGAAAGGGATTTCTGATAAGATGACATTTGAGAAACGCCTAGAAGCAACTAAAGAGCAAACCATACTTGTATTGGGAAGGATATTCTAGACAGAGGGAACAGTAAGAGCAAAGGCATCAGGAAAGAAGCATGCCTGACATATTTAAGGAAGAGAAATGAAGTTAGTACAGCTGGAACCATATGGGATAACTGGAGAATTATATGAGACAAGGCCAGAGAGTGCCAAGTCATGGAAGGTTATTGAAAGAATTTTGGCTTTTCTAATTCTAAAAAGAAAAAACATTCTATTTTGTTTCGAGGAGAGATGGCCAGGACTGACTTAGGCCTTAAAAGAATAATTCTGCTATCCTGTGGAGAACAGACCATAAAGGGATAGTGGTAGTAGAGAATCCAGTTAGGCGTGTATTACAAGGATCTACGAGAGGTGAGAGCTGCCTCGGTTTATTCTGAAGATAGAGTTGACAGGATTTGCTAACGGATTGGACATGGAATGCAAGAGAGAGAAGAGTCAAGGAAATCTTCAAGATTTTAGACTGAACACATAGAAGACAGGGCTTGCCATTTACTAGTAGAAAAGACGATTGGGGGAGGACATTTGTGAGGGAATTGCAGGGCCTTTGTTCAGGGCATATTACAAAGATGTGCATCGGATCCAAACTACAAAATTGGTGGTTTGATATAGGAATCTGGAGTTCAAGGGGGACTAGACTCAGAACAGAGAAAGTGTTTGAATCCATAAGACTGAAAATGAGATCGTTTAGGAAGTGACTGTAGATTTAAAAGGAAAAATGAAGTGTTTCAAGAAGGAGGAGGTACAAAACTGTGTCAAATGCTTTTGACAGGCCACGATGAGAACTCAATATAGCTGTCAGTGGTGATCTTGGAAATAATTGTTTTGGCAGAGTGGTGGGGATAAAAGCTTCGGAGAATGTGACAAGTAGAAGTCATCAGAATGAGTTTAAATTTTTTTTTTCAACGTTTATTTATTTTTGGGACAGAGAGAGACAGAGCATGAACGGGCAAGGGGCAGAGAGAGAGGGAGACACAGAATCGGAAACAGGCTCCAGGCTCCGAGCCATCAGCCCAGAGCCCGACGCGGGGCTCGAACCCATGGACCGCGAGATCGTGACCTGGCTGAAGTCGGACACTTAACCGACTGCGCCACCCAGGCACCCCCAGAATGAGTTTAGACAACTCCTTTGAGAAGTTTTTCTGTAAGTGAATTCAAAGACAGTGGGGATCGAATGTAGAGAGGGATTGAGGACCAGCCACTATACAGTTTCTGATCACTGTCGGGAATTTTTTTCCTTCTTTTCACCCTTAGTTTCATGTGAGCTAAATCTCTTGCATTATATTTTCAGGACAGGACATCATCTCCTACTTAACACTTCAGAGACTGCTATGAAGGCTACCCCTCTTCATCACATAGTCCAGGAGCACAGAGCAGGGCTGGGACGTATTACAGAGTAAAATGTCATCCTTCAAGGCTGGTAACAAGGCATTGGGCTTTACCTACTAATCTTCCTTCCCAATATGTAGACACTCACATGGCCAAATAGTTGATAGTGCAGTAGGAAAAGAAGACAGAAACGGGCCACATGAGGTTTCTCTTGCCAATTGTAGTTTCAACTACCAAGCACATACTGAGTTGCTACTCATGATTTCCTAGAGAAGAGCTCACCTCCATTCAACTCCACAAGAGGGGCCCCAGACCTCCTCTCCCACAGCGGGGACCTCACCTTATAGACGTGGGCTCACTGACACTTGGGTCTTACTTTCTGTAATCTCCATCTTCTCTGAGCCTTTCCCCAGCCCCACTTTGAGTTTTACCTCGGAGTCCAGGAGACTGTTGTTGAGCTCTTTGCCCTCTGATAAAAAGCCACAGGATGACTGCAAGAAGGATGAGGAAAGTGCCCACCAGAACAGTTGGGATGATGATGATCTCATACTGCTGCTCCCGGACAACTGGGTAGGAAATCAAGCAGGAAAAGAAGAGATTGAAAAAGAACCCCAATCTGATATTCACTCAACTTCCCCTATCCACCCGTTCTCAGCTCCTCATACATGAAACGATCATCTCTTCCTTCTTCCCCTCTACTTGCATACAGTGGAACCACTACAGGGAGCAGCTCTTTAATCAGAGACCCAAGTGTCCCTGCTTCTCGGCCTATCAAGTGTGCTCTGTGCCTCATCTTCCATTTTTCCTGCTGGGGTTAAGGACGCAACATCTGGATCTCTGGCACTTGCCCCCCTCTTCAAAGACAATGACCTGGGCACCTGGGTGGCTCAATCAGTTAAGTATCCGAATCTTGATTCTGGCTCAGGTCATGATCTCATGATTCATGGGACTGAGCCCTGCATCAGGCTGTGTACTGACAGTGCAAAGCCTGCTTGGGATTCTCTCTCTCCCTCTCTCTCTGCCCCACCCCCAGCTCGAGCACTCTCTCTCTCTCTCTCTCTTTCAAAATGAATAAATAAGCATTAAATAAAAAAGAAAATGACCTCCTGTGTGCCCATTCCTTTATCAACACCGTCTTCATTTCTACTAGAAGTCATCTCATCCTCCTTCTAGAATCTGTGCAGACCTTAGTCTCTGTCATCCTAGAATCAGAAGATAGGCATCTGTGGTGTTTGTCCTTACCACACAGCTTGTCACTGAGACTGCATTCCAATAGCATTCGTGTCATGACCCTCTCATCTCAGCCACACAGCTGTCCACTTCTATGCTTGGCCCTCAGAGAATGCACAGAGCACCACTGAGAAGAATTCCCAAGGACTGAGTTGTTCTAAAAAACATTAAATGGAGCATAGAGAGTTTTAAGACACCTCTATAGATCATTAGGTATTAAGTACATGACTACCTGGAACTTTCTGAGTCATCTATTCATCTTATCCATCTGCCTGATACTTAAGTGTGAAGAACTTTATTTTTTCCTGGCATTTTTCCTTTTTTCTATTATAGAGGGAGTATAGCCCTGATCTGGCTTCATCCTTTCATGCCATTATTTCTCAAATTATTTCAAAGGCTTCCCTTCTACCCAAGACCGCTGCTCCAATGCTTGAGTCCATAGTACCTGTCTGAGCAATTGTGGTCCACAGGCAATATGGGAATGATCTACCCACCCTATGATCCTAAGCAGGTTCGGGGTGCCTGGGTGGCTCAGTTGGTTAAGCATCCAACTCTTGATTTTGGCTCAGGTCATGATCTCACAGTTTGTGGGATGGAGCCCTACGTTAGGCTCTGTGCTGACAGTGCAGAGCCTGCTTGGGATTCTCTTCTCTTCCCTTCTCTTCTCTTCTCTTTTCTTCTCTCTCTCTCTCTCTCTCTCTCCCCCCCACTCTCTCTTTCTCTCTCTCTCAAAATAAATAAACATTTTTTAAAAAAAAATCCTAAGCAGGTTTAATTTTTTTCTGGGTATTACTTATTTTTTAATTGGACCTTCTCCTGCCCATTCTATATAGACAGACACAGGCATTCATTCTAACAAGTAGATAGATTAAAGGGATTATTGCAACTAAGCCATCTTCTTTCTCTTTCTAAAACTATATATATATATACATATATATATATATACACACACATATATATGTATATATAAAATAATAAGGTATTTTACCTTATTTTATATTTTATATTACCTTATTTTATTTTATATTTTACCTTAATTTATATTTTATATTTATATATTTTTACCTTTATTTTATATAAAATAATAAGGTAATAAGGTATATTTTATATATATATATAAAATAATAAGGTAAAGTGATATACCATAAATATCTTTCTCCCACCCCATCATTCTCCATTTCTCCCAGTCCCAATTCTCCTCCAAGTAAACGGTAGTTCTTAGTTTCTTGCTTATTGGGCCACAGATGCTTTATGTACATCACTTTTAATTCTATATCATCAGCATATATTTGAAATTACACGTCCAAAACCTTGGTTCTTTCTTTCTGAAGAGAACTGGTGGTTACCACTCTTTCATATCCATCTACAAACCTTATTTTGCCCTTGGTTAACAAGAGTCTTGCCTGGTTCTAGTCAATGCTGACTGACCTGGAAAAAAAAACAGTGGTTTTGTTTTGTTTTTTCCCACTGTCTAGGTGATCCTAAGTTTATGATCTAGTTTTGCAGTGATTTGATAACGAGGTAAAACTTTACGAATCAGAGCTGTAGCTTATATAATATTATACTATATTGTACATATGTGCTATTCACCATATTAGGTGGTCTTTTACTACATTGTCTGTTGTGCTTTATTGTTGGTCCTAATAACCACAATGTGACTTACGGAGGCAGAGTCACTTAGTGCTGGAAACACATACAAAGAGACCTTCCAGTTCCAGCCACACCCCCTTTTCACTCTTCTTTATGGGGAGATGAGAGTTAAACAGTTTTCTTACCACCCAGAAGAAAGACAGGTGTGTGGTTTGTTGACAGAAGCCCATGCAAACAGAGGAGTAGCCAGGAAGAAAGTAGCACAGAGGAGAGGCACCTGCTTATCTGTGGGCTTGTGCCTAAAAAGGGATCTATGCAGTCAATGAATTATAAGATAACAACATCCATCTCATTTGATTATAAGCCAAAAAGGCAAGGGGAAAGGTGGTTGAGAACGTTTCCACAACTCCACAAGACCCCATGGAAGGAAAAGCCCTGGGACGGAGCCAGAATCAGAGAGCCTCGAGAAGGTGGAGAAGGAGATCTTAAATAATAAAACACTGGCTCAGTCGGGTGAATTCAAAAGCCGTTTGAAAATTTCTCACTGCCATTCTCATTCTTGTTTTCCTTTCCTCTTACTTCCCTTTCAGGGCATTATCGGATGTAATTGTGTTCATCCAGGGAGCAGCCAGTTAAACGAGTCTGGCTCTCTGGGGAATGTTCTGTGACCATAATCTCTCTTAACCACAGTACCAGTAAGAAAAAGTCAGTCAGCAGCCAGCCCCGACTTGCGAGCTCTGCCCAGAAGCCAAACCATGAACCCACTAATACATACTGAAGAAAGAAATGTAAAGGCCTGTGTGCGCATGTATCCTCACTTAGAACTGCTCATGGTGGGCCAGACTCAACTACAGACACGTGGTCAAACATACCCACACCCAATGATTCAAATCCACGCCTAGACCCTGGCACCTACATATCACACTTATTACAGGGCACAGTGTGGTCATTTGGATACAATATGACCTTCTATTACATTTCCTGAACAAGGTTCATTTGTGTGTAATTTTATTTGCGCATGGATACTTTAAAAAAAATGTTTTTAACATTTATTTATTTTTGCGACAGAGAGAGACAGAGCATGAACGGGGGAGGGTCAGAGAGAGGGAGACATAGAATCCAAAACAGGATCCAGGCTCTGAGCCATCAGCCCAGAGCCTGACGCGGGGCTCGAACTCACGGACCGCGAGATCATGACCTGATCTCAACCGAAGTCGGCCGCTTGACCGACTGAGCCACCCAGGCGCCCCTGTGCATGGATACTTTAAAGAAGCTAGGTTTATTAACAACTAGAAGCCCAATGTGATCAGATGCTGGAGCAAGGAAACAAATGTATAGGGCTATGGTGAGGCCCACTCAGTAGATAGTTTTCCACGTGTTTGTATGATAAGCTCTTTCCAATTATTACAGTTTGGCTAGAGACATATGGAACATACCACATGAGTCTAGAATTTTTAAGGTATACACACCCAAGCATAGCTACCCACATATGCATGGAAGCGTACACTTACCTTACCACTTAGAGCCCACCAAAGCATTTATATCAGAAGATGCTCATATTTGCCCGTAGCAACAATATTCCTCTCTACATCACTCTCTTCTCTGCAGTTTATATTCAATTACCACACGACTCTGCCTGCCCAGTGTGTCAGTGTGAGAAAACACATGCCTTGGTGCCCAAACCTTCTGGAATGACTTTTCCTATTGGTTAGCTTCTAACCTATGTATTAGAAGAATGTTCTTGACCAACATTTCTGTACCATATGACGAATACTCTATCCCCTTCTATTATATCTAGACCATTTTCTGACTGTGTTAAGAAAAAATATATAGGGGCGCCTGGCTGGCTCAGTCAGTAGAGTGTGCGACTTCTAATCTTGGGGTTGTGAGTTCAAGCTCCATGCTGGGTGTAGAGATTACTTAAAAATTAAATCTTCAAGGGGCGCCTGGGTGGCTTAATCAGTTAAGTGTCCAACTCTTGGTTTCGGCTCAGGCCATGATCTCACAGTTCATGAGTTCAAGCCCCACATTGGGCTCCACGCTGGCAGCATGGAGCCTGCCTCAGATTCCCTCTCTGCCTCTCCCTCTGTCCCTCCCCTGCTCACTCACTCTCTCTCTCTCTCTCTCTCTCTCAAAATAAATTTTAAAAAATCTTCAAAAAGAAAAAAATAATACTGGCTACTGCTTCTTCTCCTTACCTAGACTGTAAAATCCTCACGCATGTAAAACATTACCCCACAGTTCTCTCCTTGGTACCATGTATCACTAGGTTTTACTATATTCAAGCCACTGGAATCAAGGATCTATAAAAGTTGTGAAATTGTTTATTCTGATCATTCTATTCGGTGGCTGGAACATATGTACGTAGGCTGCCTATAGCTTTCACATACCTATATCTACAATGCCAAATCCCCTCAGACAGGCCTCTCATTAAAACAATATTATTGCCTCACTTGTGGTTATCATTCTTTACTTTCTCTCTTCTCAGTTGCTTCTTTCTGTCGGCATATTGAAAAGTGTAGCTCCCTTCTTGAACTGAGAACCGAGAGGAGGAAACAGCACGATGAAGAAAGAGATACAAAGGAGTATGAAATGGGGAGTACAGTGCAGCTCAAATCTTCGCACAGAGTCTGGAGTCGAATGACTATAACTGAAATTAAGCTAACTATTTAACGTAAACTCTCCAAACCCTCATGCATAGGCACGATGCAAGCATAACGCCACGTCCCCTCTCTGTCTGTTTCATTACACACAAAGACAGTTCTATTTCCAAGAATAGTGCAACCCCCACGAGCCACACTTCTGTCCAGTGAGCACAATAGTCTCCCAGATATGATCAGCAATTTACTCATGGGTGTCCAGAAGAAACTCATCTTACCAAAATACATCTACAAATAGAACTTTATTTGTTTATGATTATTATTTTATTTATTTATTTTTTGAATATGAAACTTATTGGCAGCTTGGTTTCCATACAACACCCAGTGCTCATCCCAACAGGTGCCCTCCTCAATGCCCATCACCCACTTTTGCCTCCCTCCCACCCCCCATCAACCTTCAGTTTATTCTCAGTTTTTAAGAGTCTTTTATGGTTTGGCTCCCTCCCTCTCTAACTTTTTTTTCCTTGCCCTCCCCCATGGTCTTCTGTTAAGTTTCTCAGGATGCACATATGAGTGAAAACATATGGTATCTGTCTTTCTCTGCCTGACTTACTTCACTTAGCATAACACTCTCCAGTTCCATCCACGTTGCTACAAAAGGCCAGATTTCATTCTTTCTCATTGCCAAATAGTATTCCATTGTGTGTATAAACCACACTTGCACCCCAATGTCTACAGCAGCACTTTCAACAATAGCCAAACATGGAAAGAACCTAAATGTCCATCAGTTGATGAATGGGTACAAACAGAACTTTAAAAATTAGATCCATTCTCCTGCACTCTAACTGCCTAAGTGTTGTGAGAAATCACTTGACTGATCTCCATATAACATCTGGTCCCATTCCCGTAAAATATGGTTAAACGTTACACCAGCCTCCACCCTCAACCTTACCACCTGTGTATCAACACAAATGGATCTGCCAGCCATGTTGTTTTTATAAAGACAAGTGACCCACCCACCCAGATGAATGCCACACTGGGTAAGGGAGTTACTAATAGCTATGGACCTTGGGGCAGAGGACCCAAAGGCTTTGGGTGAGGAGAGTAAAACATACAGAGGTAGCAGCCCCCAGACTGAGGCAGTTTGCCTTCCAGCTCACCCCCCCTTCCCCTCCCCCTTCTTCCTCATCCATGAGATGTCCTAGCAAAACAAACAAAACAAAACACCATTTAATGGAATGAACGTGTTAAATTGGAAATGAGATCGAAAAGAATTGCTCAGATCTATCTACAGGATTCCAAAATTAGTCTTTAACATTCTGAACAGCAAGCCGTCCTTCCTATTTTCAGCTCCAATAAACCTATGTCGAGCAACTATAATGTGCCAGGTGTGATGCTAGGCACTTTCACACAACGGGGAAACTGAGGTCCGAAAAGGTTAAATTTGGGGGGCACCTGGATGGTTCAGCTGATTAAGTGTCTGACTTTGGCTCAGGCCATAATCTCGCAGTTCACAAATTTGGGCCCCACGTTGGGCTCTGTGCTGACTGACAGCTCAGAGGCTGGAGCCTGCTTCCGATTCTCAGAGCCTGGAGTCTCCCTCTCTCTTGGCCCCTTCCCCGCGCACACTCTGTCTCCGTCTCTCTCAAAAATGAATAAACATTAAAACATTCAAAAAGATTCAATTCTGAATAAGCCCAGCTTAAAAAAAAAAAAAAAAAACAGCAAGCAAATGCCACAGCAAGGTGTCATGCCCCAGTCTTTTAATTACAAACCCAATATTCCTTAAACCACTTTACTGCACATCTGTACTTGTCACTCACATGGAAGAAGAAATTATGTCCGAATCCGAAAGAATCATAGAAACCGTAATGCAGAAACCAAACTTCACCAACAAATGCAACAGAATTTGGAAAGCACAAGGGAGGAGAATCTGCCTGTTAAGTGTGTGCTCCAAGGTCTTAGAGGGCCACAGACAATGACTGCGTGTCTGTCTTCAGAAGATAAAGGTAGAATCAAAAACCTTCCCCCAGTACTCCCCAGATTATGGAATCTTGGATCATTTTCTTTGTCTGTTCATTTTCCTGGATTTGATCTCCATCCTAAATCCCTTTTTGAGGGAAAGGGTCTAGTTTCCAGGACTGGCGATCTCTCACTGTGAGCATGAAGGTCCAGAAGGAGCTAGAACTCCCAGGAGACAGGGCACTGGCCTGAGAATTGGGAGCACCATGCAACGCCCAAGGCCCCACCTTTCTCCTGAAGCACACTTGCCAGAGGACAAGGAGTACAGGCAAAGGCACACTGGAGAGGTGAGCCTCTTTCGATCCAGAGGATTTGACTAGTGTAGACAACTTGCCTTGTGCCGGGTGATATCTCCTAGGGTGGATGAGGCAGAGAGAAGGGCAGGTCACCCAGAGGGAATCCCTTGTCCTCCTGTTCTCCTCAGATACTGAAGGATTGTGATTGTTCTGATCCTCCCCCTCTCCCTCCCCCACCTTCCTAGAGACCCAGGGCTTGAAATGCACTTTGAAACCATTAGAAGAGAGGCTCCCATGGTGCTTGGGAATCCCGACCTTATTTAAACAAAGGTCTTGTAATAAGGAGACTGGGTGTTATCAGCTTTTCTTCCTTATTTTTTTTTTTTTAATGTTTGATTTAGTTTTGAGAGAGCGCAAGCGGGGGAGGGACTGAAAGAGGGGGACAGAGTATCCGAAGTGGGCTCTGAGCTGACAGCAGCAAGCCCGATGTGGGCCGATGTGAGATCATGACCTGAGCCGAAGTCAGCTGCTCACCTGACTGAGCCACCCAGGCGACCCAGTCTTCCTTCTTATTTTAACGTGTCTGCAGAAATTCCTAAAACACGTGTACGACCCAGTAGAGATGAAGAAGCCTAATTTGTATCCTGGAAGCTCCCAAAAAATTTGCTTCGGAGAGGAGTACTGTGATTGCAAGACAGACAGGCCCCTTAACATCTAAGTAAGAATCGCAGTAACACTACCCACCCCATGAGGTTTTTAATATGATTGCAGAGATTAATTTTAGGTCCTTTGAGGTGTCACCCAAATTCAATACATTTTATGTGTATTATAATTATCATTCTGTTTTTCACGTTCTCGAGTCCATAATTCTCCATCTACCACAGGCAAACCTCAAAAACCCAGAAATGATATATCCCAAATTAGACATTATCTCGCTGATTGTTTTCTCTTCCCGAGATTACCAATCAACAATTTCCCCAGACCAGAATAAGGGTTCTCTCTTTTTTTTTTTTTTTTTTTTTATTGTGTTTTTCTTTTTTTGAGAGAGAGAGAGAGAGAGAGAGAAAGAGTCGGGGAGGGGCAGAGAGAGGAAGACACAGAATCCGAAGCAGGCTCCAGGCTCTGAGCTGTCAGCACAGAGCCCGATGTGGGGCTCGAACCCACTGACCCGAAGAAGATGACCTGAGTCCAAGTCAGTCATTTAACTGAGTGAGGCACCCAAGCGCCACGAAAAAGGGTTCTCAATAAGGGAAAAGCCAAGGACACACAACTACCACCCCCCTCTAAACGCAGAATCGCCTCTTTTCTATCTGCGTCTCCTTTCTCCTACCCGTTGGACACGCCAGAGGAGACGCCTCCCTGGGGCTTCTCTCAAACACTTCGCCGCTGCTGTGGTCAGTCACATTGCATTTCCAAAGATCAGTCCCTCTCTCTGCTATTCATTCTGCTAGACTTTTCATTCAGGGGCAGTGGGGGGACTTCTGGAACTTGAGAAGTCTTAGCAGTTTCCCCTGTAAGTGAGGCGCTCCACCCTGTTCTACCACTCTTCCCGCCCATTCTAGCACATTGCCCTCTGGAGAGCCACACTGAAAAGGGACAGAAGGCAGGCATTCTGCGAAAGATGGCGGGAACACACATACGCGCACACGCGCGCACACACACACGTACACACGCTGTCTCGTACTCTGATAAATGAGTCCCGGACCCGGGCAGGCAGAGAGACAATGGACAGGGGATGTCACAAGCAGGAAATGTGTGAAGTGCTGTGTCACACAGGGCGGGTCCCTGTAAAGATCCTGCACAGAGAAGGTAATCCCAGGTACACAACCACAAACGCCTGGCGAGATGAAAACGATGCCCCCGGGAACCTCATTCTGCACAGCAAGGAGCAAACAGCGGAGTCCCTCCTTAAGAGTGGCTCCGTGTGCCTCAGAGCTGAGCAGTCTGGAAGCTGGGAAAGATGGAATCAGCACTGAGCTGGTGTTATGATAACAGAGGTGTCAGTTCCGGTTTGATAGGTGATCCATCAAGCGTCCAGAGGCACGACACCTGACTTTGCCATGCCTTCCCTTCCTAGTTCAGGGAGCGGGACACCTGTTTCTCTCCTGAGGGCAGTGAAGAACCACAGACAGCCGCAAGGAATGAGTCACGCCAGAAAAGGGGGCAGGGCAATGAGCAAGTCCCCTCAACCAGTGAGACGACCTTGCCTCTCAAATTCTGAAGGTCCTGCAGACCTGCCTCTTTCTACCCATATCCCAGCAGCCCCAGAAGCTCACAAGCTTCCTTCCTATCCCTGCCCTGCCTGTACTTTCCTCCGGGGAAGTGGCAAGAGAAGGAGATTTGGAGTCAGACTTCTATTTGGATCTCAGGTCCAACATTCTTCCAGACTGTGTATAAGTCATTCTAACCTTCTGAGCCTCCGTTTGGCCATCTGTCAGCGGAGACAATGATGTCTCTCTCCCGAGACTGTGGAAAGCTCTCCAGGATAATTTACGTATAGTACCTAGCATAGTGCTGGGCCCATTACTGACAATCAATATAAAGTAGTGCTTCCCTTCCTCCCCCTTCCCTTCTTCACCTGTCTCCCAGGTTGGGAGGTAGTCACATAGCTGTACCAATCAGGTAAGCGTATATAACTCCAGATAACAAAACAAAACCCCTATTGTCAAGATATTTATAATATTGGTAGATCTAACTCCACGTAATCCTGTGTGCGAAGAGGAAGTTAATCATAAAGGAACGTGGGTGTTAAAACTTCATACGGCAACTATGTACGATTGGACAGTCTAAGTATTACACCTGCTAAGAGGTCTCTGAATTTGACAATCATGTTGAGGACGGGAGATTTAAACAAGACGGATCAAGAGCACAATGCTGTAAACGAAGGTATAAAACAGATAGAATGCTACATGGTGGTATATTATTGATTAGTTAATTAATTCACCTTCTGTCCCTAAATGTCTCAACGCCTTCTAGCTGCTTCCATTGACACCACCTATCTGCTGGCTACATTTTTACCCAGTCTTGGGTAAAATTCCTGAACTAAT